CGCCCAGCCAAGCCTCTCTGCTCTCTGCAGGTGGGTCTGCGGGGACTGCGCCTGTCCCGGCCTTGTGCACCGGTGGCCCCTCTGCCCACAGCCACGGCCTCCCTGCTGTCACTCACGGTGTCACAGCTCCTGAGACCCCACCCCCGGCCCTGCGCTCCCCTCCCCTGGACTTGGCACGGCCACCCCGCTTCACCATGAGGGGCGAGGGCCAGGCGCACCTCCCCGAGCTCCTCGTCGCGGCCCTGCTCCACGTAGGTGGTCCCCCTCCGCGCCGCCTGGTCGCTCCGGCTCCCGGGGGTCCCCCGGCTGCGGTCCCGGGCCTCGGCGTCCGACTCCTCCGCGTTCTCTCTCTCCGACTTGTCCGAGAACGCGTCGTGCTCCAGGTGGTTGTCCACGCAAGACCCGCTCAGCCTGGAACGGGAGGGCGCCCTGGGTCCGGCCGCCGCGCCCACACCGTCAGCCCCGTCTCACGCGCGGGGAAACCGAGGCTGCCCCGAGAGCCTCCGGACCTGACGAGTGGGCTGCTCTCTCCCCGCTCCCCACGCGTCCCCTGCGCCCCCGCTCACGGGAACAGGTCCTGGTCCGGGTGCCCGGCGGCTGAGGCGGGAGGCCCGTAGAGCGGCGAGGGCGACGCGTCTGGCGAGGAGCCCGGGTCGCCGTCGCGGCCCTGCTTGCAGGTGCTCAGGCGCAGCAGGCTGGGGCAGCGCAGCGCCAGCTCCAGGGCGTCCAGCCAGCAGCGGCCTGCGGGGGACACCGGGTGAGACCCGCCCCTGCGGGAGCCCACCCCCGACCCTACCACGTCCCGTCTGGAGTCCTCTCCTCACTTCCCCCCAGGTAGCCCCGTCCCACCCTCCGGGGATCCCACCCCCTCCACCCCAGCCCCTCTTGTCCCTGCCCTTCCCCGCTGGGCCACCGAGCCGGAGAGGGGGCTGCGTGGTGGGGGCCAGACACGAGGAACCACGTGTGGACGAGAACCTGGTGAGCACGCCCTGTCCGGGACAGATGCTCCCCAAGGAGGCAGCCCTCCAGAGGGGCTAAGGCCAGGACAGTAAGTGACCCCTCGAGGTCACACGCCCGAGGATCCGGACCAGGCCTTCCACCCAACGCTGGTCCTCAGTTCCCAACCCAGCGGGGCCCAGCACTGTGAGGAATGGCCCTTATTCTAAAGGGACTGCATGGCCGGGGAAGGGAGTGTGTTGTGGCATTTGACCACCAGGGGCAACGTGGCTCCAGCAGGACTGGAGCAGTCGGAGACTCCAGGCTGGCAGGGGCCGGAGCCCAGGGGTCGAGGCCAGGCTGCTCCAGCTAGGGCCCTCGAGGCTGTGGACACTGGCGGGTGACAGCCCCTCACCCCACTGCTCCGGGGGGAGCCAGCCCTGAGGGCTGAAAGGAGGTGGAGCAGCTGCATTTACACGGAGCTGTGGAGCAGGGCCACACCCCTGGTTGGAAGGTGGTCACCAGGAGCAAGCCTACTAGTTACAGTAATAACTGCAGTCGCGGCTCCAAGAGCTGCAGTGCGCGCCAACAATGTGCCATGCATTTGGGAGTCAGGGAGACCCAGATTCTCATCCAGGCTCTAGCAATTTCTTGCTGGTGGTTTGCCCATGCCTCAGTTTCCCCATCTGTCAAATGTGGATGGTAACAGTAGAACCTGCTGGCTCAGTGATTCCTGGCATGTGGTTGGGGTCAGTAATTGTTATCTGGATGCTTTTATAAGGTCACCAGAGTCTAATAACACTGGGGCAAATGGTGTTACTAGTCACATTTTACCCATGGGGAAACTGAGGCTCAGAGAGGGGTATCAGTGAATGGCAGGCCTGCCTGGCTCCATGTTTGGCTTATCCCATGACTTCAGGCTGTCTCCTTCTTGGGTGGCAGTGGAAGGGCCTCAATGGGGCCACCTGCACCTGGGCCACAGCCCTGCGAGGGGTCCTGCTTCAGGGGGAGACCGCAGAGCAGGTGAGGACTCACCGTCCGACTCCGAGGCGGCCCTGAAGATCAGGTAGCTGCTGGGCAGGGGCTGGGTGATGGAGCCCACACTCTCACCTTTGGGTCCCTGGAGAGACAGAGGGCTGGGTGTCACCTGAGGACAGATGAACCATGCAGAACCGTGTGGATCCACATGCAGATGTGCATGGACACCTGCGGGCCTCAGGACCCCGGGAGGGGTCAGGCACCTGGCTGGGCAGATGCAGCGGGCAAGAGAGCTCTCTGTCCCTTTCTTAGCTGGCAGCTCCACCCTCAGCTTTCCAGCTCTGAGCTTCCCAATTTAGTGTGGCCAGAATCAGTGAATGTAAGTCCAAGACACCCAGTTAAATTCAAATCTCAGAAATAATGAACAGTATATCCAGTGCAATATTTGGGACATACTTACATTAAAAATCTTTGATGTTTCTATGACATCCAAATTTAACCGGATGTTCTGGATTTTACCCGGCAACCCTTCCCCATTCGGTGCTGGGCTGGGCAGCCCCTGAGTTACAAGGGGCGAGGTCCGGGTCAGGAGCTGCCAGACACACAGCCTGTTCCTCAGCCACCACTGGGAGCAGCCCCAGGCTCTGTGTGCTCTGCAGCTGCACCCACCCTCGTGGACAGTGGCTGGGTAAGGGGTGCGCGGTGTGAGCTGGATCCCATCCCATCACCTATTCCCTGAGGCCCACTGTGTGCTCCACGTGGAGAATCTGACCACATCTGATCCCCAGATGTGTCAAGGCTCAGAGGGGTCAAGAGGCCTGCCCAGGGCCTTCTGACCACCGCCCCCCTGTTGTGGCCTGGACATGCTTCCTGACCCGGGGGCCTCTCTCCTCGCCCCAGCGTGGCCTGGTGGTACCTTCACGGCCCAGACGGACTGGTCCAGCGGGTGGAAGAGCTTGAAGCAGAAGCCGTCCTTCTTGGAGGGCCGCTCGATGAGCTCGCAGCAGTGCAGCAGGACCGTGCCCACCCACTGGCCCACCTTGGGCGTCTTGTAGATGAGCAGCACCCCTGGCTTCAGCACACACCACAGCTTGGTCCAGCTCTTCAGGGTCCCGCGGATCTGCAGAGAGGGGCCTGTGGTCAACGCCCGCCTGCTGAGGCTGCCATCCCTGGGGCATCTGGCTGGCTTGGCGGGGAGAGGAGGAAGATCGGGGGGGCACCAATGGGCCCTTCTCCTCACTCGATGTCGCCACACCTGCTCAAGGCTCCCCTTGGTCACTCCCACTCCCTGGGTAGTGTCCTGTGCCTGCTGTGTGCCAGGGAGGGGCTGGCACTGTCCCCTGGGAACTCAGGGCAGAGCCAGGCCTTTTGCTGTGCAGCGGGCAGGGCTCTCTTTTAGTTTTCAGAAGGAAAGCCCCGTCCCACCCTCCGAGGATCCCACCCCCTCCACCCCAGCCCCTCTTGTCCCTGCCCTTCCCCGCTGGGCCACCGAGCCGGAGAGGGGGCTGCGTGGTGGGGGCCAGACACGAGGAACCACGTGTGGACGAGAACCTGGTGAGCACGCCCTGTCCGGGACAGATGCTCCCCAAGGAGGCAGCCCTCCAGAGGGGCTAAGGCCAGGACAGTAAGTGACCCCTCGAGGTCACACGCCCGAGGATCCGGACCAGGCCTTCCACCCAACGCTGGTCCTCAGTTCCCAACCCAGCGGGGCCCAGCACTGTGAGGAATGGCCCTTATTCTAAAGGGACTGCATGGCCTGGGAAGGGAGTGTGTTGTGGCGTTTGACCACCAGGGGCAACGTGGCTCCAGCAGGACTGGAGCGGTCGGAGACTCCAGGCTGGCAGGGGCCGGAGCCCAGGGGTCGAGGCCAGGCTGCTCCAGCTAGGGCCCTCGAGGCTGTGGACACTGGCGGGTGACAGCCCCTCACCCCACTGCTCTGGGGGGAGCCAGCCCTGAGGGCTGAAAGGAGGTGGAGCAGCTGCATTTACACGGAGCTGTGGAGCAGGGCCACACCCCTGGTTGGAAGGTGGTCACCAGGAGCAAGCCTACTAGTTACAGTAATAACTGCAGTCGCGGCTCCAAGAGCTGCAGTGCGCGCCAACAATGTGCCATGCATTTGGGAGTCAGGGAGACCCAGATTCTCATCCAGGCTCTAGCAATTTCTTGCTGGTGGTTTGCCCATGCCTCAGTTTCCCCATCTGTCAAATGTGGATGGTAACAGTAGAACCTGCTGGCTCAGTGATTCCTGGCATGTGGTTGGGGTCAGTAATTGTTATCTGGATGCTTTTATAAGGTCACCAGAGTCTAATAACACTGGGGCAAATGGTGTTACTAGTCACATTTTACCCATGGGGAAACTGAGGCTCAGAGAGGGGTATCAGTGAATGGCAGGCCTGCCTGGCTCCATGTTTGGCTTATCCCATGACTTCAGGCTGTCTCCTTCTTGGGTGGCAGTGGAAGGGCCTGAATGGGGCCACCTGCACCTGGGCCACAGCCCTGCGAGGGGTCCTGCTTCAGGGGGAGACCGCAGAGCAGGTGAGGACTCACCGTCCGACTCCGAGGCGGCCCTGAAGATCAGGTAGCTGCTGGGCAGGGGCTGGGTGATGGAGCCCACACTCTCACCTTTGGGTCCCTGGAGAGACAGAGGGCTGGGTGTCACCTGAGGACAGATGAACCATGCAGAACCGTGTGGATCCACATGCAGATGTGCATGGACACCTGCGGGCCTCAGGACCCCGGGAGGGGTCAGGCACCTGGCTGGGCAGATGCAGCGGGCAAGAGAGCTCTCTGTCCCTTTCTTAGCTGGCAGCTCCACCCTCAGCTTTCCAGCTCTGAGCTTCCCAATTTAGTGTGGCCAGAATCAGTGAATGTAAGTCCAAGACACCCAGTTAAATTCAAATCTCAGAAATAATGAACAGTATATCCAGTGCAATATTTGGGACATACTTACATTAAAAATCTTTGATGTTTCTATGACATCCAAATTTAACCGGATGTTCTGGATTTTACCCGGCAACCCTTCCCCATTCGGTGCTGGGCTGGGCAGCCCCTGAGTTACAAGGGGCGAGGTCCGGGTCAGGAGCTGCCAGACACACAGCCTGTTCCTCACCCACCACTGGGAGCAGCCCCAGGCTCTGTGTGCTCTGCAGCTGCACCCACCCTCGTGGACAGTGGCTGGGTAAGGGGTGCGCGGTGTGAGCTGGATCCCATCCCATCACCTATTCCCTGAGGCCCACTGTGTGCTCCACGTGGAGAATCTGACCACATCTGATCCCCAGATGTGTCAAGGCTCAGAGGGGTCAAGAGGCCTGCCCAGGGCCTTCTGACCACCGCCCCCCTGTTGTGGCCTGGACATGCTTCCTGACCCGGGGGCCTCTCTCCTCGCCCCAGCGTGGCCTGGTGGTACCTTCACGGCCCAGACGGACTGGTCCAGCGGGTGGAAGAGCTTGAAGCAGAAGCCGTCCTTCTTGGAGGGCCGCTCGATGAGCTCGCAGCAGTGCAGCAGGACCGTGCCCACCCACTGGCCCACCTTGGGCGTCTTGTAGATGAGCAGCACCCCTGGCTTCAGCACACACCACAGCTTGGTCCAGCTCTTCAGGGTCCCGCGGATCTGCAGAGAGGGGCCTGTGGTCAACGCCCGCCTGCTGAGGCTGCCATCCCTGGGGCATCTGGCTGGCTTGGCGGGGAGAGGAGGAAGATCGGGGGGGCACCAATGGGCCCTTCTCCTCACTCGATGTCGCCACACCTGCTCAAGGCTCCCCTTGGTCACTCCCACTCCCTGGGTAGTGTCCTGTGCCTGCTGTGTGCCAGGGAGGGGCTGGCACTGTCCCCTGGGAACTCAGGGCAGAGCCAGGCCTTTTGCTGTGCAGCGGGCAGGGCTCTCTTTTAGTTTTCAGAAGGAGCCCATACATTATGGTGAATCCAAAGAAACACAGAGTGGCCAGGGATAGATTGACTGGTGAGGTTTGTGGAGGTCGAGGTCAAGGTCAAGACCCTCAGGGTCCCAGGAGGAACTGGCGATGCTGGTGACTGTTGCAGTCGTCAGCCTGGGTAAAATCTGACACTAGTTGCCATTTCTTTTCTCATTCTGAGTGAATATTCATGTTTGCACCTTGTTTTCCATTCATAACTTGTGGGGTAGGCACACAGGCCCAGGGCTCTGCAGACCTCGGGGCTCCCAGGCGCACCTGTCACCCCTGCTTTTCCCAGCAGCCCCGGAGTTGGGTCATTTTACCCCCACTGTATGGAGGGGGAGACCAAGGCTCAGGGGCTGGGCCGGTTGCTCACTGCCTCAGTGAGGTCTGAGCACATGTCCCTGGCCCCGACCCTTTCCCCCTTTCCTGGGAAGCCGGAGTGACACCTCCCCTAGAGCCTCCAGAGGGAGCGCGACCCTGCCACGCCCTGGTTTTGGACTCTGACCCCCAGTACTGTGGGAGAACGCGTTTCCGTTGTTTTAAGCCCCTAGTCTGGGGTCATTTGTTAGGGCGGCCCTAGGATGTGCATGCAGATCTGCAGTGACAAGCTTGCTGGACGCCTCCCGGATGGCCGCAGACTCTGCACCTGCCACCTACCTTCAGGCTGTCAGCCATGATGACCACACTGGGGTCGGTCAGGGCGCTGAAGAGCTGCTTCGTGGCCCGCTTCTTCTCCTGCCGGTAGTTCTCCTTCTGCGCCTGGGCCCGGGGCACCCAGCGGCAGGTCAGGGGGGAAGGCCCGGGCTGCCCCCGCTCCTCCCACTGTCCAGCCCGGGGTGAGGACGGGGCAGGGAGAGGAGGGGAAGAGGGGCGTGCAAGCAGCCAGGGCAGGGTTTGTCCTCTCCCGTTGGCAGACCAGGCAGGGGTGGGGGTGGCCTCCCTGGCCCAGGTGTGGGTCGCAGGCCCAGGCCCACCTTGAGAGTCTCCTTCTTGGTGACCCTGGCCGTTGGGGACACACACTCCTTGTCAGACCCATTGCACAGCCTGAACTCTGCCTGCAGGAGTGAGAATCGAATCAGGTAGGGAGAGAACAGGGCATCAGGGCACGGCCAGGGTGATGGGGGGACAAGAGTAGCACGTGGCAATGACGATACAGGGACCTGCTCTCCCCTGGGCACATACACACATACAGGGATGAGGTGGGAGGTTAGGGCAGGAAGGAAACTCGGGGGCCATCAGGGATCAGGGCTTAATTATGACAGGGTGTGGCCGAGCTGTAAAGGACAACCCGGGCCCACCCCCTGCCTGCTCGTGGTGACGGTAAAGCACAGAACTAAAGCCTTGTCTGCTCCGATGTTGCGGATGCCTGCATTCATGCACCTGATTCTCCAACAACCTCGGAGCTTTGTGCAGCTACTACCCCCATTTTATGGGCCAGGAAACTGAGGCAGGGGAGGTGAAGAAGCTCCCCAAGGTCACAGAGCTAGTGAGCAGCAGGGCTGGGACTCAAACCATCCCATGGACAGGTGGTCTGGACAGCACCACGTGCCAGGACTGGCCTCAAGTGCTGGGCTTAGAGAGTAAAGACGACGGTGTTTTGCTCTCTGCAGGAGGGACAGACCATCCACCAGCGAGAGCTGTGAGAGCGGGGGGCGGGGTGAGGACATGTGCACGGTTTCCCGATTGTGAACACGGCTCTAAGCACATTTGGCACAACAGCTCAGGTCGTTCTGACCCACATTCTGCAGACGAGGGGATGCAGAGGTTCAGAGCCTGCCCAGGGTCACACAATACATGATGGAGCGGAGCTGGGCCTGAGTCTCGGCAGTCTCGCTCTAGGGCTATGCTCTCTCAGCCAACCAAGACTCCAGATCACAGGAAGAAAGGGTCACAGGAAGGGGCACCTGGGGGGCTCTGCCTGGAAGCAGCCTTTGAACCGAGGATGGGGGCCAACAAGGATCCAGGCCTGAGTGGCGATGCGTGTACGGACCTCAGCCAGGTGACACTCCGGGGCCCAGGCTGGCCTACAACATGCCCCAAGTTGCCCTCCTGGGAGCCCCCTCAGCACATGCTGTTCCCTGTCTGCAATGCTCTTCCCTGTGGTTCCCAAGCCACTTCTCCAGGAGGATGGCTCTGACTGCCCTGTTGGCACCAGACCTGGGTGACACACGCCATCTCTGGCCCGCCCAGGCCTCTTGCAATTACAGCCACTACTGCATTTATGCGACCAGCTATTTACTGTCTACAGCTCTGCCGGGTGCTCGGCACCGGTGGCTGGGGGCTTGCAAGCATCTTGAGGATGCGTGAACCCGCTGCCAGTTCCCCGCTGCCCAGCCTTCCACAGGTACAGCGGAATGGGACGTGCTGGGTTCAGGCACCGGGGGAACAGAGGAGGCAAGATTGGGGGTGGGGAGTGGGATGGAGTGGAGCATCTGCCCCCTGTCCCCACTGGGCAAGGCCACTTGCAGTCTGGTCACTGCATCCCTGCCCAGCAGCGCTGCGGAGTGCGCCACCGATGCCTCCTTCCCGGGGGCTGGGCCTTCTGCTCACGCCTGCACGTGGCCTGCCACCAGGCATAGTGCACTGACGCAGCTCCCTCGGGGATTAGGGTCGTTGCTCAGAACCATAAGTATTAGCATCTGACCAGAACCTTGCAATCTATAATTTAGAACAACCTATAGAACGGGAGAAAGCACTTGCAAATCATATATCTGGTAAGGGTCGAGTATGGAGAATATATGAACTCTTACAACTCAACAACAGAAAGACTAAGCCTCATCCAAAAATTGGCCCAGAACTTGAACAGACATTTCTCCACAAAAGATATACAATGGTTAATATGCAATTAATCATCAGGGAGATGCCAGCCAAAACCACAGTGGGACACCACTTCACAGACACAAAGACGGCTACAATTATAACTCTTTTTGAAAACAGCAGGCGTTAATGAGGTGTGGGAGGCCGGAGCGCTCTGCACTGGGGAAAGGGATGGAAAGGGCTCAGCTGCCATGGGAAGAGCTTGGCGGTTCTTCAAAGAATTAAAGACAGAATTTTTTAGAATTGCCTCTAGCCACAGAATCACCAGGACCCTCAATCCCACTCTTAGGCATATACCCACAAGAACTGAGAACTGGAACTCAAACAAACACACGTGCACGTATGTCACAGCCGTGCAGTCACCGTTGCTGCGAAGTGGAAACCACCCAAGTCCCCATCAGCAGGTGAACAGGTAATGTGTGGCCGCCTGTGCATGGGATATCCTGCCACCCTTAAAAAGGAAGGAGATTTTGACACACGCTGCACTATGGATGAACCCTGAAGACGTTATGCTTGAAGCCTTTTGTGCATTATACAAAAGCACAAAAACTGCGTGATTCCACTTAGGTCTCCAGAGTCGTCAGATTCGTAGAGACAGGAGGGGCTGGGGAGCTGGTGCGTAATGGGGACAGGGCTTCAGTTTGGGAAGATGAGAACGCTCTGGGGTGGATGGTGGTGACGGCTGCACCACGGTGTGAATGTGCTAATGCCACTAAGCTGTGCACTTAAAGATGGTTAAGACGGCACACTTTATGTTATGTGTATTTGACCACGACAAAACATTAAAAAAAATTCACACCAGTAAATCAATAAGCCATGAGTGGGGGCTGGGGACGCCAGCTGCTCTCCCCATGGCCCAGCAGCCCTGTGGGACTGGCCTTTTCTTCTCCTTGCGTCTGACACAGGGACAGACAGGGAACCACCACTAACTCCTTGTTTGACAGACAAGGAAGTGGGGTCCCCAAGAAGCAAGGCCATTGCTCAACCACAGGGGGCAATAGGTGGCCAGGGCAGGGGGAGAACACATCTCTAAGTCCACTGCTCCCCATCCCTGTCATCAGGACCTGGTGCCACCAGCTGCGGTCAGTGTCTTGGGGCCATACCTCTACTGGGCTGAGACACTCTAGGGGAAGGAAGGTTGGTGCCCAAAGCCCACACCGTCCCTGGACCCCAGGTCCTGCTGGAAGGGACTCGCCTTGGGAGTGTGCGTGGACCCCTGTGGAATGTAGCACCGACCTGGAGAGGCTGAGCCTGGCTGAGGGCACAGCTCAGGCAAAGGCACACAGGGCCTGGGGAGTCTCCTTTCATCACGATTTTCTGCCCCGGAACACCACCTAGCAGCCACATCCCTTCTCAGGTCCCCTGTGTTACGCCGAGAAGGTGGCTTCAATAAAGCAACAGCTATGAAGCTCTGCTTGTGGCTCCAGCCCCCAGAGTGGCACAGCCTGGGACTCAGAGCTATTCCCCTGGAGCAGGCGCAGGATGGCAGGCTCGGCTGGCACCCCTGCTGTCCCCCAAGCCAGGCTCCCTGCTGAGGCCTTGGACCTCCCACGGCTGGGCTCTTACCGGTGGCACCTTCGTGGCGGAGCCCGGGGTCGGGGGCCCCTCATCCCTTGGTGGCAATGGGCCATTAGACTCCACATCCTTCCCTGCAAGAGAGTGACTGGGGTGAGGACCTGGGCATGGCTGGAGGGCCGGGCTCCTCAGGCTGGCTGCCTGGTGTGCAGCAGGCGAAGGGTGGGTGCGGGCAGCTGGGAGGGGACAGAAAGCTAGCCCCGGTGGCGGCAGCAGCTGCAGGACACTGCCCCGAGGTCTAATAAAAACCAGCAAATGCTGCTGCTGGGAGGGACCCAGGAGCTCTAGCCAGGCCTCCATGTCCAACAGGGAGGAAGTGAGTGCCCAGGCTGGTGTGGTGTGTCCTTCGGGGTCTGAAAGCCAAGTCCCCAGTTTTCAGCAGAAAATTGTGGTGTCCAGCCTCAGAGGCACAGAGTGGGTCCAGGGTGCCCAGACCACATGTCCCTGTGGCCGGATACCATTGGTCCCTGAGTGTGGGGACTCTTGGAGGGAGGTGCTGGGTCTCTGTCCCTGTGTCCCACCCTGACGGGTTGGTGGAGGAGGGGGTGATGGGAGACCACAGTGTCTGGATTCAACCCTGGGGGACAAGGCTTCCCCTTTCCTGGCCGGCTTTGGAGCTGGTTTCCAAGGCAATAGTTTATGGGCAGGAGGAAGGCGGGAAACGGCCACAGAGGAGGCCTGCAGCCCGCCCCGCGGGCCACTCCCACCTGCCTCCATGGCTGGGGCCAGTGCGCTGCTGCCTGGGTCCTGGTGCTGAGAAATGGAGGCTCATCCTGCTGCAGGCCACGGGGCGGCAGCGAGGGGGCAGGAGCGGTGAGGACAGAGGCCCGAGAACCAGCCGGAAAACCTGGCGGCTCTGCTGACCCACTCCCCTGGGAGCCCTGGGGAGGGTCTCAGTGGGAGTGGGACCAGGAGCCGCCATCCGTGGAAGAGCCAGTACAGTGACCTAAGGAAAAGGTTCTGCCCAGAGGTCCTGGAACAGGAGTGCTCAAGGTCACAGGACTACCTTGTCCCTGCAGCTGCCTCACTGTGTGCCCGAGCCCTGGCAGCCTCCACTTCTCCATCTGCAAAGCACCCTACGGCCCTGACCCAAAGCCCCGGGGGGTGGTCATCCTGGGGCTTTGTCTGTTTTTAAGGAGGTCCTGTCATCAGGGCTGGGCTTGTGCAGTCCACAGGCCACCTCCCAGTGCATGAGCTGCCTTCTGGGCTGGGAGGACGTAGGGGCTCCTGCAGCATCCGAGGGGGCAGGGTGCTGGCACCCTGGGCAGCGGGAGGCCAGTGCCGGTTCTTCTCCCTACAGCCATCCACGTCCCCCTTCCCACCCCTGCCCTGGCACCTCCCACCTTCTCCACTCCTAGTAGGAGGCCCTCACCCCCCAGCACCCTACACTGCCTAGGGGGACCAAATCCCTCTGAAAACTGACTGCCAACTGGACTCGTCCCTTCCACTACTGACCCCTGGTCCCAGAAGTGCCACCATGCAGGTTCAGCTGGGCGAACATAGCAGCAGAGAATAAAGGTCGTGGGATTTACTTTCCCAGGTGTTGAGATTTCCCGAGTCCTCTATGTGACCTTTGACAAGGCCCTCCCCATTCTGGGCCTCGGTTTCCCCATCTGTTGGATGAGACAGTTCTTGAGCCTCTCAATTCCTGGCAGTGGGCTGGCCTGATGCTCTCCCACTGCCCCCAGGGGCATGACCGTCACCCGTGGCAGAAAAGCTCGGCTTCTTCTTCCTCATCCCCAGAGCAGGTGGTGGAAGGGGTGGGCACAGCTGGAGAGTCTCCTCGGCAGGTGCCGGTCCCCACCTCACACCCGTCAGGGGCACCAGGAAGACAAGGGCTGGGCTCTCTGGGGGACGTCAGAGAGGACTCGGCTCAGACTTGGTCGGGTGGGGACAAGTTACCCACAGTTACACGAGAGCAGCCTGGTCTGAACTGTTTTGTCCC